ATGGTTTTGGAAGGCACAATGCAGATAAGTGGCACACATTACTGTGGCTCTTTACTGAAAGCCTCATGGAGATGCAGAGCCCCTTGCTGCGCTCTTCTTATTGTCCTGGTATCTGGCTGCTCAAAATTAGCTGCCAACCTATCTGCCTACACACCCGACCCTGGCGAAATTTTTTTCCCTTTGTGTCATAGATATTATGGAGCACACAGCATGTAACAATAACAGTGGGGATATTGCTTTCACTGAGGTCTAACCTGGTAAGCAAATTGCACCAGCAATCCTTTAAGCATTCAAAGGCACATTCCAGCACCATTCTGCAGTTGCTCAGACTATTGTTGAACCACTCCTTATTGCTGTCCAGATGACCAGTGTACAACTTCATGAGCCATGGGAGCAAGTGGCAGGCTTGTTCTCCCAGATCACGATTGGCATTTCAATGTCATCGTTGGTTATTTTGTGGTCTGGAAAGAAAGTCTCTGCTTGCAGCTTTTTGAACAGACCTGTTTTCTTAAAGATGCACTCATGCACCTTTCCTGACCATCCCACACTGATGTTGGTGAAACACCCCCTGTGAACCACCAGCACTTGCAACATCATTGAAAAGTATCCCTTGCGGTTTATGTACTCTTTGGCAAGGTGGTCTGGTGCCAAGATAGGGATATATGTGCCATCTGTTGCCCCACTACAGTTAGGGAACCCCATCACAACAAAACCATCAGCTATGTCCTGCACGTTGCCCAGAGTCACTATCCTTCTTAGCAGAAGTTGATTTATGGCCCTGCACACTTGGATTACAACAGCTCCCACGGTGGATTTACCAACTCCGAATTGATTCACCACTGACGGGGAACAGTCTGGCGTTGCAATCTTCCATAGAGCGATCGCCACTCGCTTCTTCACTGTCAGAGTAGCTCTCATTTTAGTGTTGCTGCACTTCAGGGCTGGGGAAAGCTCTGCACAAAGTTCCTGGAAGGTGGCCTTCCGCATTCAAAAGTTCTGCAGCCACTGGTCATCATCCCATAACGATGTGGTCCCACCAGTCACTGCTTGTTTCCTGGGACCAGAAACGGCGTTTCACCGTGTTCAGTTGATGTGCGACTGCCAGCAGCAACCGGGAATTGTTTCGTTCTATGGCTTGCGGCATGGCTGCATGCATGACAGTGCAATGTTCCGCGCTGCTGCTCCTGTCTCGGCTCTGGAAATACTGAGGATAAGGTGCGAGGTGTTTGTAATGCCCACAGCAAGAGCACACAACTGAGCAGGTCCATGCTTCTTGAGCTATTGCGTATGCGCTGCTAAAACCTTTGAAAAAAGGTGCGAAAAAAACATGGGTTGTTTGCCATTGGTGTCAGGGGAGGGAGGAAAGTGCATCGTGGGAGGCCGAAGCCACGTTGTCATTCCCCTCCCGCCTCTGTGACAATGCTCTGGTTCCATGAGGCTTTGCAAGCCCTTCCCAAGACCCCATGTGGCTATTTGCACCATGGGATTGCTACCCACAGTGCACTGCTCTGTGCATCAGTGCAAGCACTGCTAGTGAGCGTGGTGTGGACACACATGATTGACTTAATGTGGAGGCTTGAAGGCAACTTAACTTTATAGTGTAGACATGCCCTGTGATTCTGACTGTTGCTGCAGTTACAAAGAAGCTCCACAAGGTGGTGCTAGAAAATGAACTGATCATGTGCTCTTCTATTATTCCTGTTCAAACTGTGCTCTCTCTGCAGAACCATACTTGACCCCACTTGCTGACTATTCAGCTGTGCATATGTGTATTGGGCAACCTATAGAACCGTACATAGTATTCTTTTACAGCCTCTTTCATATAAAGGCAAGCAATAGGTGTGTATGACAGTGGAGGTACTTGAGCAGAATGGGGTAATGATGGAGGTAGGTAAGATTCTTGTTACGTTTTTCAACCAATCGTTTTTATTATACAGTGCAGTATATATGCACAGCATTTTACAAGCAAATACCACTAGTATCGGCCATCATGCAACGTCATGTATTGTGTGCATATTGAATTAAACCCCAGTGTATTAACATTGCCATTATGGCTCACTCTAACAGTCACACTCTGTCGTTGTAACATTCACTGTTGGGTCACTTTTACTGCCAATAGTACCTGCAATACAAGACTGTACGGTCAGTATAGGCTTTATACTCCAGAAGACTTTTCTTATAAAGAAACATATTTGCAAGAACATGCATCCCCTCCCCCCAACTCTCCCTAAAAAAGGGTGTTTACAAACCGCTGGAAAGGGCTGGGATAGAATCTTTACACCTGTTCTGGGTAGCGTAAGAGGACTGTTTTGGACTATGCTGAAACCTGTCACAGGACAAAATTCATTGGAACAGTGTTTTACTTGCTGTGGGTCAAATTCACACCTATGCACAGGGCTAGCGCAAAGCCTGTGTACCACTTCAGTTTCCCTGGAACCCACAAAACAGTGCATAGGCCTCATGCTGGTCACTTCCTGCAAAGGATTGAATTTCACCTCGAATGAGCAACACTGTTCATTTTACAATTCAATTTGAATACATCAGATAAAGCACTAGGTTTGGGGGCAGTGGTAATTTTTAGTATAGATTTTAAAATTACCAGCACATCAATCACTTTTGATTAAGCTCTCTATGCCTGGGAGCTGTCAGCCTGGCTTCACAGACTCTAAATGCTAAATGCAAAGTGATTTGAAGCTTAAGAGCTCCGACTCTCTAGGATCAAGACACCTATCCTCATTGAAAGGGAATTTAGCGTAAGGTATTTTGGGGATTGCTTTTCCTGGCACTGTCTTCATGACTTATATGCATAGGGAGGGTTTTATTTGGGAAAGGGTTGGGGGCAAAGGGAAGATTATTTGTAGACTGCAGTATGTCTTCACCTGCTGATAAGTTGTTATTAGGAAACCCTCTAAAGAGGGGAGGAATGCTTGCTGTTATGATAATGTTGATAATGTAAACTAAAGAAAATTGAGATCATGATCCATATGTAGAGATACGGAAAGAACAATAGGGAAGTTGTTGCCAAGTAACTGCACCAAAATTGAAAACTGTAGTTATGATTTCCATTTCCTTTCTCCTAAGGGCAGGGTGGTTTCTTTCTAACTGCTTGGGCTTTAAGGGTTTTAATTATTGCAACAGGATGTGAAGAACTATTTCAAACACTAAAGGAATCCACCACAGTGCTAGCAGAAACCTAAATGAGTTAAATATTGGAACAGACTGATCTGAACTTTTAATACTTCAGTAGCCATTGGCAAGGTTGGGTTTTAAAAATGCATTAACTTGTGCAAAAGTGCTCAATACTATCCCACTAAAATATATTGAGATGATGATTATCCTGTAACTGAATTATACTGAATATCTGTAGAGCCAAAGTACATTTCAACCATTACCTTGACTTAAAAATGCTTGTAATTAATTGAATCAATCACAGCAGTGACACAGATAGATAAAATAGGACTCCAAAGAAAGCGGCCATGCCACAAAGATGTAAAGAAATGAAAATGTGCTGCCAGGGTCTTTGTCTTTGCATATGTTATAAACCAAGAATACAGTGTTTCACTTCTGGATTTTGTGCACGCAGCCAGACAGCCTCATAGTTCATGGTAAATAGTCTACCTCATTTTCTTGTTTGCCATTTCTAATTGTGTTTTTAAAATATAATTATATAAAAAGGGTTAAACAGAACTCAAATCTTCTAGACATAAGCCTCGCTGTACTTTGTTGACTGACTGTGTGTTCTGTCCACATGCCAGATAAACATCGTAGCAAATAAAAGGATCCTAGTAAAATGCCCACCTGAACGTAATTCATTTGAATAGTTCATTTTCCTGGCAATGGGAACATTCAGTTTCTCATTGAATGGTGTCTCCTGCTAGATGGATACATGGCACAGGAAGGGCTCTCTGCTGTAAGTGTAGCCCTCTGTGTATGAGTATGTGTGAGCATGTTACAGGCTTCAAATGAATTCAGAGCTCTGAGGTCACAAGCAGCAGAAGTTCACCCCAGCATGCTTTAAAACTCCCATGTGTTTTTTGAAATGCCTTTTCCTGATTGCTCACCTTAGTGAGCACATCTTGGAGCACACCTTTTCTGTTTGCATTTGGCTGTCCAACCGTGCTGGCTGTACGAACAGAGAGCTACTAGACGCACTTCTGCCCAGATCAGGCAAGAAGTATTGGATCTCCTGGGCCTATGGGGAGAAGAGATTGTACAAGCACACCTAAGGAACAGCTGTAGAAACGTCGACAACTATGAGCAGATCGTATGGAGAATGTTGGCAAAGGGGCATGACAGAGATCAGCAACAGTACTGCATGAAAGCAAAGAAACTATGCCAGGCATACCAGATAGTTCTGGGGAGTGGAAATCTAAGTCCTGATTTGATCCTTTCTCCCTTTGCTTTGCTGGCTTGTGTTACATTAATTGAATTGTATTGTTGTATAAATGGGGTATTTACTAATGCTGTATCCTAGATTTTTGATGTTTCATATACAGTATACGAGATCCTCACTTTAAAAATAATCCACTCGGCATGGCTGATGGTAAAAAGGAAATAATCTGTGCAGTTGGGAATACAGATCATCTGCTTCTGTAGATGTTTGTTGGCTCTGCAGTCAGACAGCAAGTTAGAATCCTCTGTTTTTAAGTTTAATGGAAAATCAGTTGTATAGGAGTTGCATTAGGATGTCAGGATGAGAGGGACCAATACAATGTTCTGAAAAAAATCTTCAAACCACCACCAAACATCCGTGCAGCTTCCTCCAGTGTGTTCTCTGCCATTTTCTGTGTCTGTGCTCACCAGTGAGGATAGGGATTGTGTTGAGAGTTGCAAAGCAATTGATACAAAGGGAGCATACTGTAGTCCAGTATAGCTTTCATGATCTCCTTGCTGCTTAGTTATGCATTGTATGCTGATACTAGCTCGTTTCCAGATGTAGTAGGATTAGGCCTGATTCCTGGTTCAGATGTGTATCTCTAATGTAATTGTTTTCTTGCTAGGTAATCGGCAAGGGTGATGTAGCTGTGCCATCACATCTCTACAAGGTGATTCTCGCCAGGAGAAGCAGAATATCCTCGGAGCCCCTGGTGCTGGGAGCCTTTGTGGTGCCCAACGATCCCATAGGCTTCAGTCACCAACTACCTGAATTTCAAGTGCATATTGAAGACCTGGAGAAAATGTCAGGATTGGTTTTCTTCCCGCAAGTGGACAAAACCAAAGATGTTAAAAATATCTGTGATGTAGACACCTGTAAACTGATGGGGTTTGATGAGTTTACGTTGTACATCACCGCCCGGAAAGTTCACAGTGCCAGAACACTGCACAGGCTGGAAAAGGTCATGTCAGAGTTAAGGGAAATGGGAATTGAGCCTGACGAATATCTTGTGAAGCTTTACAAGAAGAAGGAGGAGGAACTAGTGCAGCAAAAGCAAATGGACGCTAGAGAAGGGAGAGCTGGTTGAGTACACGGTTCAGAAAATACGTTTGGAAGGTTTTACTCTCAGAAAGGAGTCACATGCACACACTCAGTTTGGATTTCATGATTTGGCCATTTTTTAAAAAAAATGTGGAAACCATTAGAAGTTGAAGTTCAGGGTAATGTTCAGTCTCTTGTAACATGTTGTATGTATGATTTGCTACAGTACTGTGTGGGAAAGGAAAATGACCCTTTCCTGGCATGACTGGATTATGGGGCCTCTGAAAAAGGCTTTGTACTATTTTCTAAACAAGACGTCAGAATTGGGGTTTGTATGGAATCCCTTCTAGGAATATTATAAAAATAGACAGTGGACACCTTGGGAGTATAACTGGAACCTGTCTAAATGTAACTGACCCTACAGATGTATTTTAATACTAAGCTGTAGAATTAATGGTGTTACTGAGAGGTGGGGTTTTTTTGTTTTGTTTTTTTAATGAAAAAATGCTGACATGAAATTTTTCTTTTACTTGTTTTTTTTTAAAAAATCCAATAACATTTATAAACCACTGTCTAGTCAGTGGCAAATCTCTCATTGACTTCAGTGAGATCAGAATTTCTCCCATTCATTTTATTAAGTATAACAAAATGCATAGTACATCACAACACAATAAGCTACCTCACCTCACCTCTCCAGGTCCAAGTGGCAGCAGAGTGCATGGCCTGGAATCCCCTTAGGGGACTTGGCAAACACAGAGCTCAGCAGGATCTTGGAGACACAGTGTATCCCCATGATTCCATTGGCAAGGGGATGGGGTAGGCAGACTGACCTGAGCTGTGGTCATCGGGGTTTAGGATGGGTCTTACCATCGAAACATAGCCGTCCGAAGGGCAGAAGCCTCACAGCTGTGTGTGTAAAGGAGGGTTCTTTTTGGAGGAAGCAGTTTGCTCCGCCCATCAGGATAGGCCACTCTCTCATGTTTGTTTCAGCATAAATGTAAATCTGCACTTACCCTATCTATTGGGTAATAGGGAAGCACATACTAGTAGAGGGAGGGGTCTGCTATTTTTGTGGATCCAGGCTTCTATTAGTTATTATCCACTCCTGCCTGGCAGGTGTGTGAAGTGGAAGTAGGAATTCAGGGACAGATTGTGGTTTAATTTCATTCCTAACAAGGAGGCCTATAAAATCCATAAACCATCCCCTCTGGTCTAGTAAAGTCATAGGGTGTGTCAGCCTCATGAGCAGCAAGTTCAAAGGCAGCAGGTATCCCCTTCAGTTTCTAGAGCTGCCATACCACCTAAAACCACACTGTGCAGAGAACCCTGTAAATTGTGACTCTGTTGCCAGTATAAAATTATACCAGCAACAGGAGCATAGCTGTAGCTCATACTTTCTTACGGGAGCAAGCTGCACAGAGCATCCACTCTATTTCAGCTCCTACTCCAAGTCTTACATACCCCCTTGAATTCCTGCAGGACCCGCTTAGCATGATTTTCATGTCAAAGGGCTCACCATGTGGAATCTAATCCCTCTAGGATTTTCAGTCACTGCTCCTGGATTTCCCTCTGAAGCATGCAGGAGTGGGGACCATAAGGCGCAGGGTAAATAGCTAGTTCTGGCCTAGCAAAAACACATCCCTATCTGGTACAAACCGAAGAATACAATCATATGCATTTACTTTGCTCGTTTCACAAATTGAGGTGATAACTCTGGCTACTGTAACAAAGCTTATTCATAGTCCCTTACTGTCATGGGGATTTCCAAGTGAAACAGAAAATACAACACAAATAATGACATCTCTTGTCTTGTTTATTTCTAAACATAAATTACTACCTGATATGCTCTGAGCTGTGTACAGCAGAGTTAGTGGCTATCAGTAGTTGTGCCAAAATTCCTCATGATTAGACTGTTAAATGCTAGTGCCTTAACTAGAGTTTCTGTACAATCCACATTAGTTTTCCATCCCTAGCCATCATCCACGTCTATCAAAATGCCCAGTTTTTGTTGGAGAGGTTATAAAATGGCTAATTGTGATAGAAACCAGTGGTGAAAAGTGCTAGCAGGGGTTTGCTTTGAGTCTCCCAGTGTTTTGGCCTCTAAGGCTAAAGTAAGAGAGTTGTAGGGTGGTGACATCTATACCATTTACAATCTGATACAATCATTTCCTGATATTTTCTTGACCTGCTGCTCTTCAGCATTCTCACAGACCTTGATTCAGAGCATGCGAGTTGGTAAACAATGTGTTTTCATTTGCTAATATACAGAGACTAATAAAAGGAGAAACTTGTTCTCAAGTGGTCCTCTCAGTGGTGTACCTTCTACTTTTGGATTCAGTGCTACTCACTGCCAGTCCACCATCATTTCATTTTCATTTTGTGTTCATTTTGTCAGGGGTATGAAATGTAAATGCAATTCTGATATTTCGCCTTTAGGGGGCAGTTGAAATCTATAACAGATATTTGGCTACTGTCTGTTCCAGGTGCATATAAACTTTAAGGGGCTGAATGTTTTATGGAGGATACAACTGAAATAGCTGTAAATAACAAAGACACTTGGGCTTTGTTTCCCCCTATGCTAACAACTGCCTTTCCTGCTTGTAATGCAACTATAACCCCTTTTTAAATAATTACAATTTCATTTATTACACTAGACAGCTGTGCACAGTGCAAACCCATGACCTTCCCGGATGAAAAGGGTTGTGGAAATTACATACCTGTACTAGATTTACCAGTGGTGTTGATGTCTTCATTTTGTATGTCTGGTTCTAAGCCAAGTCCAGATTCTGCTTCTTTAAGAGTGTAATTGCAGATGAGTATGTTAACACTTTATATACTATGTGAATACTTGGTAATGCTGTTAATTTGTACCTGTCCGTGCAATGTACTGGGGGATATTTTTAAAACTGTTTTTATTTTTCTAGGTATTAGCTGAATGTGGTGTTAGTCCATATCCCAGTTGTGATTTGTATTACAATAGTGAAAAGAGGCTCCCAGCTGAGATCAGTCTCACTTGCTAGGTGCTATACAAATACATGGTAAGAGAGAGTCCCTGGCCCGAGTTTACACTGTAACAGATAAGGCAGACAAAGGCTGGGAGAGGAACCAAAAGCACAGAAAAGTGAAGTGATTTTCCCCATTTAAGCCTGTGTATTTAAAAAAACAGACATGTCAGTTCTGTCTGTCTGCCCCAGTGTTTGTTGCCTGGCAGTGGAGCTGTGTGGGAATTATATATAAACCCCAAAGTGCTCTGCGGGTGACCTGACTCAGTGGGGAAGTGAGGAGCAATTTTGCTGTTATTTTTGAATGGTCGTCTGCAGTCACACAGCCACGCAGATCAGTAATCAGCGGGGATATAGGAAATGTTCATTTCTGTGCTTCACGTCTATCTAATCAGCCCCACCTACACGGTTCTGGAGGAGCCAGGTCTTGTATGTTCGCTAATGGCCTGTGCAATTAATGGAGTATCCGCTGTTGCAGTAAGTCGGATTCAAACACTGAACAGTGGCTCAGAGTACGTACCTAAAAATAGCTGAAGTGTGTATTTTGAATCTCTGGTTAAGTATGTGGTGTTGGTGTTCACTGTATATATATATATAAGTAAACCCCTGCTCTCCCACGTAGTGAAATAGGGCAGCAATGCAAGCACGCATTCGATTATGCCCTTCATGCAGCCTTGTCAGGGCACTTTCCCACCCACCGAGTGTAAAATCAGCAGCTATAGCCACATAATAGTCCCTAAATAATCACTTCAAAAAGCTGAATGAAACTACTTTGTACATGCTAGTTGGAGAGGCACAACGGTTGGCATTCCCACTTTCACTGACCGTGCCGTTTCACAGGCAAGGAACAAAGGAGCAAAAGGATCTTGAATGATGCATGTCTAATGTTATTTAGGAAATGGGACGTGGATTGTTACCCAAACGTAGAGAGGAACTATTGTGCAAGTCATTTACAAAGCAGGAGGGAGTAAAGGCCATTACAAACTCCTGCTAATGCCTCTCTCACCAAGTTGTAATGTGCAGCAAACTTGGGCTTGATTGTAGCTAGAGAGCTGGGAGAAAGTCAAACAAGCCAGTCAACCTGCTAGAGCACTTTGTCTTGCCCTGGGCCCCCGCCCCAGGACTGCTAACAGTCTTGAATCCTGTCTCGCTGTGTGTAGATGCATCCATCTGGAGTAAAATACCTTATGGAATCTGACCAGCACCTGCCAGCCTGCCTCCATCTTCCACTCAGCTAGCCAGGTTGAATGAGGCCACAGCCTGCAGCTCAGACACATCAAGCCATCCCAAAACACAAACAGGTAGTGAGAATTGTGGAGATGGGCAGCGAAAGACTTCCCTGCTTCCCAGGAGCAGTGGGAGGCTCAACTCATTAGGCCAGATCTTCAGCTTGTATGAAGTAGCATAACTCCACTGTAGCTCCCATTTACACCAGCTATTCAGCTAAGGCACTGGCCCAAACTCTGGAAGGTGCTGTGGGATCCAACGCACTGAACTGATCATAGTTTAAACAAACAAGGGAAATGGAGCTAAATCAGATTAAACTCAAAGATGGGCTCCAACTGTAGGGCTCAGATCCCAAAAAAATGTTTCCAGTGTTCTGTGGCCTAATTCTGCTTCCACCTATATCATCAAACTACAAGGCAGTGTGGTGCCGTGGCAGGAGACTTGAGCTCTGCCAGTGACTTGCTGTGTGTGACCCTGAGCAAATCACTGCTCACTATACAAAAATAAATAAATACATAAAAATAAGATACTTTCCTTCCTTTGAAAAGCAATTAGAGATCTCTTGCTAGCATGTGCGGCAGAGGAGTTAGACATGATCATACCATAAAATGGCTGCAAATCCATTTCCTGATTTACACCGGTAAAATTAAAGTGTAATGAAATGCAATCCAAGATGAAACTGAACAAGTTGGTTATATAAATAAGTTTAAACTTGAGTTTGATTATACAAGAAAATTGCAAAATGCAAACCAAGCTAAAAACATGAAATGTGAAGTAGTGAAAGCTAGGCAAAAATCTGACCTAGCCCATGGCAGTGCTAGAGTACAGGCAGCCAAACTGTCCATCAGCTGTTCTTAGGCTAAAAGTTGACCTACTTCAGAGCCAGCTGAAGGACCTTCTGCAACACTTGGAGCTCTCTCAGGGGGCCTATGGCAGTCAGAGTAGTCAGGCAGGTGGGAGGTGTCTCTCCATTTCCTGTGTGCCATTGGAGGGTCCTCTGTACCTGCCCCAAATGTCAGCATGAAGGGACAGGTTATGGATGGGCAGGGACCATAAAAATTGCCTTATGGATCAGAGCAGAGGTCCATGTAGTCCAGTATCTTGTCTCCATGTAGAAGATTGAGGGCTGAGGGCGTTGATGTTGTTCCCTGGCTCATCTCCTTGCTTAAGGTCTGTGGGCATGGAATTTCACGCTTTGAGAGAGGAAATCTTAACCTGTCCAGTTCCTAGCAAAGCACATTTGTCAGTAACATACTTGTGTTAGTGTGTTTGGGACACAACTTTACACCTGGCTCAAGATCAGCTCCAGGTGTAAAGTTCAGAGGCCAGCTCCTCAGCTGGCGTAGAATACCATCTTACATGTGGGTTACATCCCCCTGCAGGGGCTGGGCCACCTAGAGGCTTGAATCTGCTACAGCATTTGGCTAACAGAGCTAGATTTCTAGTTCAGTCAGGAGAGCAACTTACTTTAAGATCCGCAGCTCACAGGTTTAATCTCTGCTGATGACCCACACATGGGTTTTGCATTATAGGTGGAGTTCCCTGATACAGGAATCCGTGACTTCCAAAGACCTCTGTGACTTCAGCCTGCGGCAGCTGGAAGCTGCAGGGTACCAGCAATGGGGGGGCCCCCAAGTTCTGAGCTGCTGAGGGCAGTGCGGGGCCCCTCAGCTCCTGGACGCCATCGGTTGGAGGGACACTGAAGCTCTCAGCTGCTGTAGCCAGCAGGGGGTACCCTGCAGCTCCCCACCACTGAGGGCGGCAGGAGGTACCCCATAGCTCCCAACCACCACGGGCGGCAGGGGCTCCGAGCTACTGCAGGACGTGGGACCCTGCAGCTCCCCGCCACCTTGGGTGGTGGGAGACCTTGCAGCTCTCAGTGAGTGGAGGGGGGCCTTGGGGGCCCCCAGAGCTCCCAGCTGGCCTCTGCAGCTGCCCAGCAGCTCCCCATTTTGTCATGGATATTTTAGCAAAAGTCACGGACAGGTCACAGCCTCCATGAATTTGTCTTTATTGCCTGTGACCTGTCCCTGACTTTTACTAAAGATATCTGTGACGAAATCTTCGCCTTAACGATGTGCTTACCCTGGTTCCAAGCTGCTGTCAGATCTGTTGGGACTGGCAGCTTTGCTTGTCTATACTTGCAGGTTGCATAGGTGCAGTGGCATGGTGGCTGGCCACAAGTGCTAGAATCAGGCCTGATTCCCAGCATACCCAAGAGATGTTTTCAAAAGCATCTAATTGACTTAGGAGCCTGAGGCCTGGTTTACACCTAAAACTTAAGTTGACCTAGTTACATCGCTCGGGGGTGTGCATGAAAAGTTCACGCCCCATAGAGACGTAGTTAAATTGACCTAAGCCCCGGTTTACACACCGCTAGGTCAATGGAAGAATTCTTCTGTCGACCTAGCTACTGCCTCTCGAGGAGGTGGATTTCCTATAGCGATGGAAAAACCCCTTCCATCGCTGTAGGAAGCATCTATGCTATGAAGCTAGAGCTGCACCACTGTACCACTTGTAGTGTAGACATACCTTATGTTCCATTGTCCAAAGTGACTTGGGCCCAGATCCGCACGGTATTTCGGCATGCAGTTCACATTGAAATCAATGGAAGTCAGGCACCTAAATACCTTTGGGATCTGGGCCTTAGGAGCCTCTCTTCCATCACCTTTCAAATTGCCAAAGTCACTTCTGAAAATGGGACTTGGGTGCCTAAGTCAATTAGGCACTTTGGAAAATGTTCTCCATGGTCTAATATACCCAAGGCACATGCTCCGAGTGTCCATGGTGCACAGCCTAGTAATAGCAAACAGCTAGGTGCTCAGGGGGTTCTTCAAGTAATAACAGTCATTAATAAAAGCAGACTTTGGGCCTGATTCTGTTGCCCCTGCAGTCTGTAGCAAAACTTCAACACGAGAGGACTGGGCCATTAGGATCAATTTTTTGCACTGGAGGGAACACACACAGTTCAGGCTAATGTGCTAAAAGTAACAGGGTGTTGGCAGCTCCCATTGCATGGCCCTTCATCTCTCAGAACATGGCCCTCTTTAGTACAACATGCATAT